TGGTTCGGGTTGCGGGTTACGGCTTCCAAATCCGCTTCGAGTGCTCATCATGTCGATCTATACACCAAGTCGGATGTTTGGCGTGCAGTGACGAGAATTAAGATAGAGAAGATTTTATTTACGATCGACGTGTAAATCTCCTTATTACTCCGAAAAGTTACATGCCAGTTCTAATACCGTAATTAAACGTTTAGAAGTCTGAACACGTAAAGTTTCCAGATCCGCTCGGCAACAGACCATTTAGCATCATAAAGCATCATAAATCATTTAGCACATAAAAGCATGTTAGGCATTTTCCCTAAATAAGTTAGTGCTTGTGTCTATTCAGGTGTATTACCTAAGACACACTCCTCACAATCATTGCTTAGCATTCTAAGTTTAAGTCTAGAAATAAATCTATATTCCTAGTTTGCTTAAACTAATGCTCTGATACCAACTGTGACATCCCCATTTTCACGGCCAGAAAAGACCAATTTTGTTTATGCTTTATAAAAATCAGAGTACCTCTTTTGATAAAAATGTTGCGGAATTTGTTCCCAGAAAAACATGATAAAAACGTTATCAAAGCATTTCCGAAGAAATGTATTTTTATTCATTTTAAAACATTGGGATGTCATCGTCAATACAGAAACATAAGCATAAACAGAACTTACATTCATTATCACTAGTGATCTATATCCCTTTTAAATCTCTCAGTGTAATGTAACTTCATATCGACACCTGTGATAGAAATAAGTTGGAGTGGGTCAGGTTGGGAAACCTGGTGAGTACATAGGGTTTTCAACCCACAATAATATAACTATTATGTTTAAACATCAAACAATCAACCCAATTACCCATCCCCATTATCTTCTTTACTCTTAAGGATCTACCCTAAGAATCAATTATTCCTCGTTCATTCATTCCTAAGGATCATCCTAAGGAATCGGCACGAAGTTCATCATCACCACGGTTTAGGCACTAAGTCTGCATAGTCGCCAGGGTTTATACAACAGGCACTAATTCTGCATAGTCGCCGGGGTTTAGGCACTAAGTCTGCATAGTCGCCAGGGTTTATACAACAGGCACTAAGTCCGCATAGTCGCCAGGGTTTTAGCACCAAGTCTGCATGATCGCCAAGGTTTAGGCACCAAGTCTGCATGATCGCCAGGGTTTAGAGTACACCAGGTGAACACATCGTTCACAACACCTACAGGTTGCGAGCCTGCTAGTGTTCCACTGCACTGTCTAGAATAGTCCGTGGTTGTCATCCATACTCTGCTAGATGACGGGGCCATCATTTGGGAAAGGCTTCTCACATCGTCCACCTCTCACACTCACCTCGTGGTCTATAACACCTCTCAACTCATCATCCAACTCATATTCCATCTACCCATGTTTTACCCAACATATTATGTAGATATAATTACATATACAGTTTAAATCCTATAAAACTTGTATAAAATCGTTCATCCAACATAGATAGCAAGTATACAGATAATATGCACACATAGCACGTAATTTATATAAAATACTTCATATCTATGTGTAAGATGAAAGTAACTATGCACTCACCTGATTAGGTGGTGACTTGGCACTTGAACATCACTTCGTTATCTCAAAACAATTTTTTCTCGACCAAAACCTAGTATAAAGACCACTAGGGTTTAGTTTTAACGTTAACCGCGACTAATTAATAGTCTAGCTATTATTATTATTATATAAGCGTTAAATAACACTCAATATAACTCATAATAATAGCCCAAATAATTATTTTAAGGACCCAATAACATTACTATAATTATTTAAAAGTTATATTAAAAATTGCGTAGGCGTAGCTCACTTACAGTGAATTTTAAAGAAAACCGGGCTTCGCTTGGAGCAGCGATTCCGAAACGAAAGACCCTTTTACTCGGGACTCCGAGAGCCTCGGGGCTTCCTTCGGGTGCTAGGGGGTTAACCTAGACTTAAGGGGGGGGGGTTTGGGGGGTAGTGAGAGAAAGTAGAAGTGAATTGGTGAGAAAAATGGCTGACCCTCACAGCCCTTTTATACCCGCGAGGTTGCTGGCTACGCACTGCGCTCCTCGAATCTACGCTGGGCGTTCCTCGGACGGGGGGCGCTCCTGATCTACGCTGCGCGTTCGTATGAAGACGTGTCCGAGCCTCCCTGGTGCGACGTGGACCTTCCGAAGCCAAGTAAATCTGAACGCGGGGCGTTCCTTCTTGTACGCGCTGCATAGCGAGCCAGCTATCACCCATCCGAAGCGAGTCCGTGCTCAGCAAGCGGCGGTCCAGATCGAGCCACGTCATCAACAGGCTTTGCAAATTTGAGTCTAAACTTTAAAAATTCGTATCTTTCGCATACGAGCTCCGTTTTCGACATTCTTTATATCCACGCGTAGGCGGGACCGTACTCTACAACTTTCATTTAGATTCCGTCGGCTAATTTTGACTTTATTCTAAAAGTTATATTTTTAACAGGCCGGGACAGGATTGGTCCGTTAAAAATTCATAACTTCTTCATCCGACGTCCGTTTTCGTCTGTCTTTTTATCGGTACGCTACTATTAATGAGATCTTCGATTCTCGTTTAGGTTGTGTCGGCTAAAAACCGCTCGATCTAATATTCGAACTTCGTGCTGTACACTGCTAAGCCGAAACTTCAAAAAATCATAACTTCCTCATACGAAGTCAGATTTGGGCGTTATTTTTATGGACGCGCTCGGTTTAACGTTTTCTACAACTTTAGTTTAGATTGCTAAGGCTAAAAGTCGCTCTATCGTAAATTCACTATTTACGTCTCCCGGTGCCGTGCCGGTTTTGCCGTAAAACTTCGACGGGTGATAACTTCTTCGTTATAACTCGGATTTCGGCGTTTTTTATATGTACAGAAACCTTGAGACATATTCTACAACTTGGTTAAGATTATTTATTCTAAATAATCTTTTGTCGAAAAGTCGTTTTCGACCCTTATTATCTCTAAATTGACTAGCCCGGATCTACGGGCGTTACACTACTCCCTATACTTAAGTCCCACTATGTGTCTCAGGTGTTAAGGATACAAAGATAATACCTATTAATCAAGTGTCACTCACGACTGCGATCTATGAGTTGATCTTGATGCAGGTATGTTCAGTACGAGTTCTCTGACAAGTACCTATGAAACTTGGTTACAACTTCTTGCCTACTTTCATCTGGTGAGAGTCAACCAATCCTTTTCATATTAGTCTTACTTCATAATTGCTCCCACAATCATGACTGACTATGAACCTTTAGAATAACAAGATTATTCATAGATTAAACATGTTAATATAGAACATAACAAGTATTAATGTAATGATCATATCCCAGTATATCAAAAACATTATGTAATAGTTGTTGTTACAATGTTCCAATATCCAAATACAAAATCCAAACCAAAATCCCATTTCTAGAATAATAAAAGTCCTATGGCTTAAGTGTAACCACTCATACTTAGCTTAAAAGGAAAGACTTTATCAATGGGTTCGACTAAATTTAATTTGTGTGAATTTCGCGAATACTATATCTCGATATTTGACTTTTACTCTAGGTATAATTAAATATCTTGGAGAATAGGATTGACGTTCTTTTGTGACATGGAGTCCCTTAGCTTGATTAAGTCAACTCTCGAAATCACAAAGATTTCTATGTGATCATTGAATGACAGAAATCAACATAGTTTTTCAATGAACTCATTATCCAATCATATTTGACTTCAACTTCAAAAGTTGTTTATTCTTATCTTGTAGTAGATTGTGTCATTATGTTTTGCTTGGACCTCATTCCAACTAAACTTACTCTTCATTCCAAAATGAAGTGATAATCCAATTATAATTCATAATTATCTATATTTATTTAGAAATCAAAATCCTATGTAGCTCTTTACATTAAGATTTTATTCTAAACTAATTATCTCATATACATTCTCTTAGCTCTTCTTAAGTACTCTTAGAATGTTCTCATAATCATCTAGTGATTTAACCATGTATTCAATTTTGTATATCATGATATGACATAATTGATGGATTCATTTGCCAAGCAAATAGAATATAAATCATTTCTTCTAGCTCAACCTATGTGCTAGGTCCATTTGAGACAAACTAAAAAATGGAGTCATGTGACAATGTCAAGAATCTTCCAAAGGATTCTTGTATCTTGACGTCTTTCAAGATATTGTCATTTCATGCAAAAGAATTTCAAAACCTTTAACATTCATCTTTATCTATCTTTTATAGATTTTACATTCTAAGAATGTATCTTGTCATTCCTAAGTCTTTCATTTTAGAAATACTTTCCGAATCAAGGTGAAAACCACCTTGCATAGTCGGAATATTATTTCAAATGATTAAATATGTCTCTTTCATACAAGATTAGAAATATCACTATCCTCCCACTAGTTCTTAGTATACACACATGTTCTTTTTCATTTTGATATAAAAGCATACCTTGTATCTTTATATTAAAATGACTATTCCAACCTTGAGATGTTTGCTTTATATCCACAGGTGGATCTTAAGCCTTATACATTTGGTTAGGATAACATGGATTAAGAAAACCTCCAAGCTAAGCTATATAGATATCTTCTAGTAGATGTCTATTAAGAAAAACGGTCTTTCTTGAAATCTATTTGCTATATCTCATCTTAAGGGTGGTAGTGATGGTGGTGGGTAGTGGTGGTGGTGGTTTTGGTATGTGATAGGTGGGGTGGTAGTGATAGATGGTGTAGGCAGGTCTTGGTGATGGGTGGTGGTAGTGATTGGTAAGTGGTGGTGGATGATTGGTGGTGATGATGGCGGTGTGTGATGGTGGTGGGGTTGGTGGTGGCGAGTGGTGGTGGTGGGTGGTGGTAGTGGGCTGTTGGTTGTGGTGATGAGTGGTTGGTAGTGGTGGTGGTTGGCAAGGGCGGCTCAACCAGTTTGGAGGCTCTAAGCGAACCAAAATTTTAGGGCCATTTGGTTTTATTGTACTCCTCAATTATATTCACATACAAGTTCACTCTTTATGTTTTCTTCAAGGACAATTTCGGTATAAGATAAAGAATTTTTCCTATTGTAATAACCTAAATAAACAAGAATTTGATAAAAATTTATATATAATTCTTATAACACCTAATATAACAAAAGTACATAGCAAACTTGTTACTAAAACTCATCATTCACTGTTAATAATTTGTGGTATTTAGGACTAAATAACTCAATGATATAGCTATATTTTAATTAAAAGAAGTATTTTATAGTTTTTTTTATTCTTCCACTTGATTTATTTTGTGGTTACTGAATTTAATGTTTTAATGGACTAAACTTTTGGATTTTGGAGAATATGAGGCCCATTAGAATTTGGGGCTCTAAACCCTAGCTTAGAAAAACTCTACATAGAGCCGACCCTGGTGGTTGGTGATTGGTGGGTTGTAAGTGGTGGTGTTTGGTGGTAGGGGGTGGTTTTGGGTGGGTGGTGAGTGATATATGTTAGTGAGTTTTTTTAATTGTTTTTAACTATTTTTTTATTTATATTAATATTATTTTATGTTTTTTATTTAATTACAAAAATATCATCTTCTAAACTAAAAAAATTTTATTCTCAAATGTTTTTGCAATAAAAATTTTCTCAATTTAACGCTCCCTATATAAAACATAAAAGTTGTGCAATTTTATTCCTTTTTAGAATTTACGAGATAAACCAAAAAAGTTAAACCGTAAAATCTCGAAAACCTAAAAATTGTTTTGTTTTGGATAATATACCTGAAGCCCTTTCCAAATTTTGTAAGCTTTAACTTGTTTTTTATTTTTCCTAACCTTATAGCTTGAGAGGCTTTGGACTTTATAAAATTCGGTCGTTTCAAAAAAAATATTTGAATAACTTTTTGTTTACATTTAAAATAATAATAATAATAGTAAAATAAAAAATAACTAAAACCGATAAAACCGTAAACACTGTGGTCGATTTGTCCAAACAAACAAGTAAAAAAAAAAAAAGACAGGAAATCTCCCCAATTTCCAAAATTCCACCGGCATTAGGGTTCCGATTTGAACGATTTCAACAAGGGATCGAACCTTTTCTTACAGGTTAAGTGCTTTTCGCCTTTCATGCCCATCTATTTGAAATTGTTCCATAGTTTGATTGTATCTTTATTCAACCCTAGTTTTGTAATCTCGATCTCAGTTGATGGTGGCTTGTTGTCATGGAAACTTGTACATTTTTAATTAGAGTTATAATTGCCTTGTTTCCTTTCAGCACTCATAAACAGGACGAAATGTTAGTTTTTTTTTCACGTTAGGTAACTGTAGCCTGACTTTCTTCTTTTTTGAATTCTTTAATGACATTTATATGCCCATTTGTTAGCCACTGTTTCAGTTTTTGTTATGTGTTTATGCTAAAGATTTCTTCTTTCTTAATTAGTGTTGTGTTCTCAAGTAGATATCTATTTCTTTGTAGTGCTAGGAATGGCACCTTGCATCTCCATATTTGTAATTTCCAATTGGATCGTTTTTAGATCCAGTATCAATCAGTTCAATTATTCCTCTTTGGATTTGTTGTCAAGCTGATTATTGCACGTGAAGTCACAATGATAAGTTTGCTCTGTTTGGCAAAAACCGATTATGCTAACTAGCCTGATACTCACTCTGAGGTGATTCTGTAAAACACAATAATAGCTTTGAAAATACGTCTTGCGTAATGCTCTTAGGTTGTTGGTAGAATAACCCTTTTGCAGAATCATGTCCCTGTTGATTTTTTTTTGTATGTAGGATATTTTTCACATTTAAATTCCTTTTATTTTGTTTTCAGTCTTGATCATGTGTAGATTGGTTGCTAGTGAAGACACATCAGCTGGTGAATTAGAGCATCATCAAAGCACTGTAAATGGAACTCGCCGCATGCACCCACAGATTCAAGCACAAATTGCACGTTTGGAAGCAAGGATAAGTAGGGTTGAAGCTCGGATGGAAAGGCTTGAAGTTAGTGTTTTATATCTTCAAAGGCGAATGTACATATATGGCTTTGTCTGTCTCATGTCTGTTTTGTATGCCATATATAAATGAGTTTTAGTAATTAGTATATTGTAGTATTGTACAACTGTAGTGGTATCCTGTTGTAATGTTTGACAAACAAAAATGATCAAGATTGATAAATTATTAGTGTTATGTTAGAAAACTCAAACAAAAATGATCAAGATTGATAAATTATTAGTGTTATTTTAGAAAACTCGTGATTCTTGTTTTGAATCTGTGTTTGTTCTTACTTTAGCTATAAAAGAAAAATAAATGTGCACAGCATCTATGATTTATGTAGTTTTATTTCTATAATGAGGTTCATTCTATTAAGACAAAACTTCAAAAATGGTCCCTGTGGTTTTCGAAAATCTGAAGTTTGGTCCCTAATTTATAAACCTATGAGAGAGAGAGGTAACAGAATCATAACAGAAATGCCCATTGGTTGTGAAATGACAGATATGCCCTTCACTTAACGGTCAAAAGGTAACGGAGTTAGCGAAAAGGACCATCTGTTAAAAGTTTTGAAACCACAGGGACCATCTGTGAGGTTTTTAAAGATTAGGGACTAAACTTTAGATTTTCGGAAACCACAGGGTCCATTTTTGAAGTTTTGTCTTCTATTAATATCTGCCCTACTAGCTTGCTAGTATCAAGATTTTTGAAATTAAGTGGATTATTATTATCATCATTTTTTTTTTGAGTGGGTAGACTATATATACGAGTGTTTTTTTATTTAATACAAAAATAATTAGTTAATAAATAAAGTCATAAAAAAGGGGGGTTTTACTAGTTAACACCCAACTTTTTTAAATTTTTTTCTCAATTAACGTAAGAATAGTTATTATTATTACCAAAGGGCTTGTACGATACTTGATGTTGACATGGTGCCTCTAAACCCAAGTGATTAAAGGTTCAAATGTAAGTGTTGTGAGACAAGTTGTGTGATTTAGGAGTAGATTAGAAAGTGTCGTTGTTCTGAAAAAATGTTATGATTATTAGCCTTGGTGGTTAATGGCCGCTATATACGCATGCCTTGCAAGGGATTCATGATGACGTTAAATTAATTGGCCATTCTGATTCATACGATTTAGGTAGTTGTGATGTGAAGGCACGTGATATTTTCCTATCAAAAGAGAAAACAAAATAAAGTTAAGAATAATTATTAGCACATAAAATATTAAGGAATATCAAAATAGTTGTATGACTTAGGAAAATTCACAAAAGGTGTCTCAGAGGAGGCATGAAGGAAAGGCTCAAGTATCACATGTCAATCATTGATTATTAGCCTTGGTGGTTAATGACCGCTATATACGCATGCCTTGCAAGGGATTCATGATGACGTTAAATTAATGGGAGCTGATTCGTACACAACAGCTTTTTACCGCATACAACAATTTTTTATAAATAGACAATTTTACCCTTTCCTCTATTTTAACAAACTTTACAATCTACCCCCTCCCGTCTAAAACCCTTCCCAATATACAAACACAGAAACGAATCTAAGCTTCTCAACGGCGATCATTGGTAACTTGCATCTTAGGTTTGCTTCACCGCCATAGCCGGCTGCCCCACTGCGGTCACTTTTATCCTCTATTTTTTGGTTTGTGATTTTATATTGTGATTGTATTTCCTCCATTAATTGATTTGTGATTTTATATTGAATTATTGGTATTGTGATTTTTGTATCGTTGCTACTATTATGATTTTATATTCAATTCTAGTTTGTATATTCAATTCTAGTTTGTAATTTGAGATTGAAAAAGATCAAAACCACTGTTTGTTGTTTGCGATTGAAAAAATCAATTATTCTCCTTAGTTACACTACATAATGCTTATATTAATAAGAGTAAGTATCTTTAAACCCTATTCATCCAAAAAAATCAATGAATATTATGTTTACCTTTTCTACTAATTTCATCAAATACATCAAATACTTTGTTATTTGTCTTGACTGTAAGCCCAAAAATCCATGCTATTGAAGAATATAAATGTAAAGCTTACCTAGTCACTTAACAGGCTAATGTTAATTTTTTAAGTTAATTTCATCAAACTATATTTTTCTGTTTATCACTATTATTTGTACTGAATTTCTTAATTTGTGTGTGATTATGTAACAGACAATTTCAATGGAATCAACTTCATCGATGCCACTGAGTGAAAATGTTTATTTAACTACTTCGAAATTTGACTCGTGTGATGATTTATTGAAGAGTGTTCGAGAATTTTATTATTCTAAAGGATATGGGATATCTATTCGTGGTTCAAGAAAAGACAAACATGTGATTTTGCAATGTGACAGAGGTGGTTTATATCGAGATATACGAGGTATTTCAGGTAAACGAAAAAAAACCACCGGATCGGGTTTGATCAATTGTCCTTTTAAGCTTTTGGGCAAAAGGAGTAGTGATGGTGCTTGGATATTTGATGTAAAAGACTTATCACATAACCATGAGCCATCTACGGACATCTCCGGACATCCCTCGTTTCGTCAGTTACCATCGGAAAGCATAAAAAGTGTTACAGAAATGACCAAGGCCGGGATTCCCCCGAGACAAATTCTTTCTTCTTTGCGTCAACAAACCCCAAATCTACCAGTAATCTCTAGAAACATATACAACGTGAAGAGAAAAATCCAAAGGGAAAATTTAAGGAATCGACCTATGATCAATGCATTATTTGAGGAGCTTGACGAAGGTGGTTTTACTTATGACATTTCACATAATGCAGAGGGTCGTATATCTCGTTTGTTCATTGCACACCCTTTGTCGATTAAATTGGCTAAAGCTTTCTCCAACATATTTTTGATGGATTGCACCTACAAAACCAATAAATATAACATGTCACTCCTTGATATTATTGGTGTTTCGTGTTTTAATACTGCCTTTTATTCTGGGTTTGTTTTCTTGAAAAGAGAAGATGAAGAAAACTATTCTTGGGCATTACGAGCATTTAAAGAGATTATTGGACAAGATCCGTGTGTGATTATGTCAGATAGGGAATTGGCGTTAATAAATGCCATAAAAAAAGTTTTTCCTATGACATCAAATCTTTTATGTGTTTGGCATATTGAAAAGAATGTACTGGCAAATTGCAAGAAATATTTTGGACGTGCCGAGGAGTTCGATATTTTTATGTCTAATTGGAATAATGTTGTATATTCGACAACGGAAGCTCTTTTTGAGGAAAACTGGTTTGAATTTACATCAATTCATAAAGAGAAGAAAGACGCAATTGAGTACATAAAAAATGTATGGTTGCCTTGGAAAGAAAAGTTTGTTAGTGCTTGGACCGATAAGTACTTGCATTTTGGCAATCGATCGTCATCAAGAGTTGAAGGTGCACATGCTAAACTTAAACAATATTTGCAAGTTTCTACGGGAGATTTGAGGGAGGTGAAAGAGAAAATTTGTCTTGCAGTTGAGCATGAATTTAATGAGATTAAAGTAAAGCTCTCAAGTGAGAAAATTCATGTTCATCATGATGGCACTATGCCATTATTTAGAGAACTTCATTATCACGTATCTCACTTTGCCTTGAAGGAGATATATAAGCAATATGGTTTTACGAAAGATGGTAATATTTACCTTTCTTATTGTTTATTAACCTTTATTATTTACTAACATTTATTAATTATTTTGTATTTTTAGGTAGTATGACTCCTTGCACTGGTCACTATATGGCAACCATGAGTCTTCCATGTGCTCACAAGATAAAATATTGGCAAGGAACTACTTTTCCGTTGGATTTAATCCATCCGCAATGGAGGATTGACACACTATCGCTAAATTTACAAAATGATTTGCATGATGAAGACACTGGTAGACTTGATGAGTTGCTTAATGAATTGCGCTCAACGTACCAAAGGTGGCCCTTAAACAAGAAAAAACATGCACTTTCGCTGATTACTGAACTTCTGAACCAATCTGATGCCTTTTTTGAGTCGGTGGTTCAACGACCAAAAGGAAGACCTCCAAAATCAAAAAAGAAAGGAGGAATAACATCAACGACACGGGATCCTTCAAGATTTGAGTTGGTAGAATCTTCACAAAGACGTAATGAAGCAAATGGTGAAAACAACTTATTTGATTTAAACGTATATCCATTAGATACGTTTGATTTAGACGGTCCTTTTTGAGTTCATCATAGTATTTTTTTTATTGACATGGTTGCTTGATTCAAATGTTCTTTTTAAGCCTACCATAGTATATATATATTTTTATGTGGATACTTGTTTGGTTTAACGGTTGTTTAATAAAATTTGATTGGAAAAAGTTTGATTATATAGCTAAGTCTTTGATTTTAAAAGTTATTATCAAGTTATATGTCCACCGTTGTAACAAAAAAAAATGATAAAATTGACAATTTTTAGTAAGTACAAATATATGGCACGTAGGAGAAGAAATATATGATAGATAGGAATGAGTGCCTGTAGAAAAGAATAAAGAAATTGTACATTTATGATTTTGCAATATATATATATATATATATATATATATATATATATATATATATATAGAGAGAGAGAGAGAGAGGTAGAAATATATATTTATATAATGGGAGGGGTAAAGTGTACAATTGAGAAAAAGTTGTAAAGAAGGAGGAGATAAATTATAAAATTGAAGAAAGGGTAAAATTGTCTATTTATAAAAAATTGTTGTGTGCGGTAAAAAGTTGTTGTGTACGAATCAGCTCCCTAAATTAATTGGTCATTCTGATTCATACGATTTAGGTAGTTGTGATGTGAAGGCACGTGATATTTTCCTATAAAAAGAGAAAACAAAATAAAGTTAAGAATAATTGTTAGCACATAAAATATTAAGGAATATCAAAATAGTTGTATGACTTAGGAAAGTTCACAAAAGGTATCTCAAGGAGGCATGAAGGAAAGGCTCAAGTATCACATGTCAATCATTCCTCACCTGTATATGAGGGTAAAACACATGTTAAAATCACATAGGCACATTACATTAAAGGTGGGTACGTATTTTCTTCACATATATCTCATTTGGTCGACCATTATAATACAAGCATCTTTACGAGTACAAGCATCTTTACGACCATTATAATACAAGCATTTTTTTTTTTAAACGGTAAATCTAACATACTCCTAAATTACTCTTTAAATCCACCTATGTCCACGACGGGACTTGAACCCTCAACCTCAATGAAGGAGGGCAACACCGGGTACCGCTGAAGCCCTTTGGTATTTATGAGGTATTTAACCAATAAAAACAGTAACTTACCTTGAAGGCTCGAAGTATGGCATGCATCTATTATCAATTTCAATATGTGGTGGTATGCATTAAAATGTGCTTTGTCATGTCCGAATGTAGATTCCAAAACATCACGGAAAGCTTGACTGATTTTTTTTCCAAAATGTTGAAACCTTTCAACAACATTTCTATTTGAAAGACCCGAGGCGAGTGTAAGCAAGTATATTCCAACATTCAGTGTTGATGGGTTACTATTAACTTCTTGGGCGAAGTTATGCCAAAGAGGACCTTTGAGCTTATCAAGACTCTCCGTTATATTAAAATAGCTGGCCCGACTCAGGATAAGAACCATCTGCCCCACCTTATTTATCTAGAATCGTCTCCTACTCATTAGCTGATATGGCAGTAAAATTTGGATCTAATGATGGTGCTAAACAACCCTCCCCTATTGCTGCAATATCACCAAACAAAATTATCCCTTTTTTCTTCATCAAGTGGCAGAACCCCCTGAACTTATTGACATAATATTTCTCCTAATAAGTTAATTAATCATATAATATATCATCATAAGAAGAAATGGTAATATGCATATATATAAAAATAATCAACGTTAGTGTTTGCCATCACTCATCTAAACAATTAGGTTTTTTTAGTAGAATTCCAATCTAGATCGGTTTCTCCCGTTTTTATTATTTTCCATTGACGCTAATCTTTTCCCATATGGTTATCGTATCATATTTGTTTTTTTTAAGGATTTGAATTGACATTATCTAACTGGTCTTTAGCAAATTGATCTTCTATCTCACATCATCTCAATACTTGGGCACATCCATTCTTGGCAATGAAGTTGATACACATGACAAAAATATTGTAATAGTGTCTAATGTTATAACTAAATTGGTAAGACTATCCATTAATAGCATGGTCTTTTTTAGGTTGCGCTCAATGAACCAAATGATATTTAAATGTTGTAAGATCTAGGGAGATACAAATTGTTTATTAATTATTCATTTGATGATTAATTAATTAGAAACTAGTTCGTAATTATTTGGACTTAATTAGAATTAATTTAGAATTAAGTTATGTTAATTAAAAGTGCATGGATAAATGTTAATTATTCAATAGTTGAAATGGTTGGAACATTCTGGAACCCTAGGGATAGGGTGGACAAAATTGATAAAGTTTATCCCTAGAGATTTCACCCAATGCTAGATAAAAGGAAGGATTCGAATTTGAATTAATCATGATTAATTAATTATTTAAATATGGTATCAGGAAGTTAGTTCAAAATATGTTAGACAATCCTGAGGTTGGGGCCATGAGACAGGGTGGAGGCATCCTTCAGAACGAGTCTACATCGAGTAACACCAACATCAGACAGTGTCTTTGTAAGGTTGCAGATGGGCACTTTACCGCAACAGTGAAAGTGTTATGCTCATCTGGTGTTGCGCCATATAATGGTGATACTATTAAAGCTTTGGAGGACAAACAACCTTTCAGGCCACCCTCATCCATGCCGAGCCCTATAATTTCTGAACCTCCCCTTGTAGCAGACTTTGACTGTGTATCTGGTTGTATCAAATATTTCCCTAAAGGAACTTCTTGCGGGAGAGATGGCTTGAGGGCTCAACACTTACTGATGCCCTTTGTGGAGAAGGGTATGCTATTGCCACAGATCTCATATGTTCTATCACTTCAGTGGTTAATTTATGGTTAGCGGGAATATATCCGACCATTTTGGCAGAGTTTGTTGCATCAGCTCCTCTCACGCCTCTGCTTAAAGCTAACAACGGGATCCGTCCAATTGCAGTAGGAACTATATGGAGACGTCTGGTTTCCAAGGTTGCCATGAAAGGTGTGGGTAAAGAAATGGCCAAAGTATCTTAATCATTTTCAGTTCGGGGTTGGTGTGTCCGGGGGTGCTGAGGCTGTCTTACACAGCACCAATAGGGTGTTGAGTGAACACCATGATGATGGGTCTCTTGTAATGATGGCAGTGGATTTCTCGAATGCCTTTAACCTGGTGGATAGATCAGTATTGCTCCACGAGGTTAAGAGGATGTGCCTTTCTATTTCTTTGTGGGTGAATTTCTTGTACGGGTAGGCAGCGAGACTTTATATCGGAGACCAACATATATGGTCTGCCACGGGGGTGCAGCAAGGCGACCCCTTGGGCCCTCTTCTTTTTGCCCTCGTTTTGCACCCGCTTGTGCACAAGATTAGAGACAATTGTAAGCTCCTTCTCCATGATTGGTATCTAGATGATGGGACTGTCATTGGGGATTCAGAGGAGGTGGCTAGAGTGTTGAACATTATTCGGTTGGATGGTCTAGGCTTGGGTCTTGAGTTGAACATCAAGAAAACAGAGATTGTTTGGCCCTTCTGTGATGGTAGGAAGCTTCGTGTCGATTTTGTAACATCCGAATTTTCAGGGATATTATTGTGTATGTTAATCTTGAGATTGAAGGAGAGACTCGACGAGTTGAGGGTCCAACTCGTCGAGTCGAGTCGAGTTGCTCGCGTGGATTTAATGAATGGATTCGACGAGTCAGAGGAGGGACTCGTCGAGTAGGTGTTGGGCAGAGAAACCCTAATTTCCCGGGTTTGGGACCTATTCAAAGGCACTTATAGCCTTATTTGCGGCTACCTTCCTGTGAGAGCAAACCCTAATTGCTATTGGAGCTAGAGAGTGATATAGAAGCTCATATTGTGGTTCTTGTGCATCATTTGAGGAAGAGGAGGAGGTTATCAAACAAGGAGCTGGAGGTGAGGCTGTTGGATCCAGTGATTTCCTGTCCAGAGCTCCTGAGGAAGGTAATAAGTCTTTACCTTTCTTCTTATTTTGGATAGATCTCATATCTATGGAGTTTTAGGGCTTTTTGCCATCTTTTGTTTGGGTTTTTGAGTAGCATGAGTTATCAAGAAGTCTAGACCTCAGATCTGGACCTTGTGAGGTCCTTAGAGTCTAGGTGTCCCATCTTTATTCATCCATATGAGGGTTTTTGGGCTTAATCATTCATGAAGGGGATGTATTAGCATTTTGGAGCAATAACATCATGCATGAACGTAAAGATCGAAGCTTTACGTGACTATTGAGCCTTGAGAGGACAGATCTAGTGTTTGGAGTGATAGATCTATTTTAAATCGTCTGAATGAGCTTTGGGTCTGAATGAACTCGCAGAGTCAATGAGCCGACTCGACGAATTGATTAGGGTTTGTCCCGTAGAGCTGAATCATGCGATCACTCGGCGAGTTGGGAGTCAACTCGACGAGTTGAGTCAACCTTCATGAGACTTCTGTGGAAAACGATGGGACTCGACGAGTCACAAGGGTGCACTCGGCGAGTCAGGTCAAATATGGACTGTTGACTCGAGTTTGACTTCTGTTGACTTTAGGGTTTAGTCAACGTGAGTAATGGAGACCATAGAGGGGTAAAATGGTCTTTTATCCACTTCAAGAGTTAGACAGCGAAAGAGAGTAGCCTTTAGAATATGCGAGTATTAATAGAGCATTAATTAGAGATATTTATCCTATGTGATAGGCGGAGGCTAGTTCGAGATTTCCGAGTACGAGACTGTTACTTGCTTGCTTACAAGGTGAGTCTTCTCACTATACCTTACCTAGAGTGGTAATTATGTGTGACCGGAAGGTCTTATGTGCTTATAAGGGTTATGTGATGTATGTTTTTATGTGATATGTATATGTTATATCCTGAGTTTGCATAGTTTGGACGGGAAGGTCAACAGATTAGGACCAGAAGGTCTACAGATTTAGAACCGGAAGGTCATCATGGGTAGGACGATATATGTTTTTATGTGAAATCTAATTTAAGTGGGGGAGAATTGTAACATCCGGATTTTCAGGGATATTATTGTGTATGTTAATCTTGAGATTGAAGGAGAGACTCGACGAGTTGAGGTTC